GTCAAGAGTGCATGCGCTATGTACAGTGCATAGTAAACTGCCGCCATGCCGGTAGTCAGTGGTAAATAGGCGTGTCGCGCGTAGAAGCCTGGCTTCTATGCAAGCCCGGATCGGCCGATGTGCATACAAGCCTGGCAAAAATATCAGTGGTGTATATAAGCATGGTTTGCATACAAGCCTGGTTGGCATTGAAGCCTGATGCAGAAAGCGGCTTATGTGCTTATAAGCCCGGCTTTTATCCGCGACTTTACGGTAATCCCCTTACCAGTGATTCATAACCCTTACCAGTGATTAATAACCCTTACCAGTAATTCATATTCCCTTAGTAATGATTCACACTCTAATACCTATTATGCAGTTTGATAGCCAAAACAACATTTTAGCGTAGAGCTGCGGGATCTCCCTCAGGTGTAGGCAGGCCCCTTTCAATTTATTTCTAAAGTTTTATTGTACGCTCCATGGTGATACTAATCAGCAGTGTTTCCCCTGTGCGACTGCTGCATTGCTACTAGTACTTGTGTACCGCAGCATTGCTACTCGTGCACCCCGTAGCATTGCTACTCGTGCACCCCGTAGCATTGCTACTCGTGCACCCCGTAGCATTGCTACTCGTGCACCCATATGCTACTCGTGCACCCTGCACCCCGTAGCATTGCTACTCGTGCACCCCGTAGCATTGCTGCATTGCACCCCGTAGCATTGCTACTCGTGCACCCAGTAGCATTGCTACTCGTGCACCCCCGTGCACTCCGTAGCATTGCTGCATTGCACTCCATAGCATTGCTACTCGTGCACTCCGTAGCATTGCTGCATTGCTACTGGTGTACCGCTGCATTGTGTACTGCTGTACATGTAGACACTGAAGGATACACTGCTGCGCTAGTCCGCTGCTCTACCTGCGTGCAAATATGGTGAAACTGCCTAAACGCCTACATACGTAATGTAAGCATGCAAATGAAAATACGGTGGACTGACAAAATGTAAGCATGCTATACTCATGGTGCGGAGTGATTCGTGCTTGTACAATGATGTATACACTTTCCCAGCCTCACACCTTCGATTTCAAGCTGGGTACAACTCTCACACAGCCATTCCAGTGACCATCATGATCGCACCAGCAGCAGCAGCAGCAGCAGCACCAGCATCAGCACCAGTACCAGCACCAGCACTACCAGTACCATCACCAGCACCACCACCATCACCAGCACCAGTACCAACAGCAGTATCATTAGCAGCAGCACCAGCACCACCACCAGTACCACCACCAGCAGCATCACCAGCATCACCACCACCACCAGCAGCACCACCTTACACAACAAGCAGCAGCACCAGTACCACCACCATCACCACCAGCATAACCAGCACCACCACCCAATCATGTAATTACCTTGAGCAGGCAGCACTTCTTGCTGGCACGTTTCCAAAATGGGTGCCAACAACTCTTCCTTACGGGCTAGCAAGTTTAGCATATCCGTTTTACTAGTTTGAAGAATGACATCACCTGCATCAAACCACATGGTCAGAATACAAATCATACAGCAGGGCGATCAGCTGGATACATGTGCAATGATTGTATGATCAGTCTATGTACAATGACTGTATGATCACCATGTACATGTACAATGACTACTGTATGATCACCATGTACAATGACTGCAGTCGGATCACAGATATACAATATTGACCTAGTAGGTACTCGGTCATGATAATGTTACACAAGTGTGTAGTGCATCTCATTTCCAGTGTTTTACTGCATTCTCAGCTCTTTCTGTACTGGACTCCAGTCAGCATAGTGTCTTTCTCTACTGGACTCCAGTCAGCATAGTGTCTTTCTGTACTGTACTCCAGTCAGCATAGTGTCTTTCTGTACACTCGGACATCTGTTATCCGGGCACCTAGGGACCGGGCACTGCCCGTATTTCAGATTTGCCCGTATCTCAGGATAACTCATCTACCACGTATCATATCAAATTCGCTATATTATATTATCACAAAATTCTCTATATGGGAGCTCGCTATAAGTGGAGTGGACTGTGTATCCTAAGAGTACTACTGCCGAAGCAACTAGGAGACAACCACTGTTGGTCAGTACAACATCTGGGAGTGTTGGCCAATACAACAACAACAGCTACTGAGAGATTACTACTATGGGCCTGTGAACCAACAACAACTGGGAGATGACCATTATCGGACGGTGCAACAAGCTACCTAGATAGAGCAAGCTGGATGTAAAAGACTTTTTTTTAGTCATCACACACACGTTCATATTGATAGTCTTGGAAGCTGCACCTATGACATCACTGGCCCTATGTAGTTTCAGCAGTCTCCAAGACAATGCACAACTCACAGAGCTGAGCTTGCTGCTCAAAGCGTTTCACGCGTTCCATCCTTTTAGTCAGCATATCCGTCAATTCCTTCTGCCTGCGGCGCAAGGACACGGTACAACGGACAGCAAATACAAACCGGCAGCGGTGGCAAGAGCAGCATGACAGTCATGATGTTTGCCGCGCAGTGGGACAGCAGCAGCAGCATGGTACATCTGTACATCTGTACACTACTGTGGCAATAGCACACATGTGGTGTGGTGATCGGGGGGGGGGGGGGGGGGGTATGTACTCTCGCAATAGCACACACACACGGTGTGGTGATCGGGGGGGGGGGGGGGGGGGGGGTATGTACTCTCGCAATAGCACACACACGGTGTGGTGATCGGGGGGGGGGGGGGGGGGTATGTACTCTTGCAATAGCACACACGGTGTGGTGATCGAGGGGGGGGGGGGTATGTACTCTCGCAATAGCACACATGCGGTGTGGTGATCGTGGGTATGTACTCTTGCAATAGCACACATGCGGTGTGGTGATCGGGGGGGGGGGGGGGGGGGGGTATGTACTCTTGAAATAGCACACACGGTGTGGTGGTCGGGGGGGGGGGGGTATGTACTCTTGCAATAGCACACACGGTGTGGTGGTCGGGGGGGGGGGGGGGTATGTACTCTTGCAATAGCACACACGGTGTGGTGGTCGGGGGGGGGGGGGGGAGGGGATATGTACTCTCGCAATAGCACACACATGGTTGGTGATCGGGGGGGGGGGGGGGGGGGGGGGGAGAATATGTACTCTTGCAATAGCACACACACACACGGTGCGGTGGTCGGGGGGGGGGGGGGGATATGTACCCTTGCAATAGCACACACACGGCATGGTGATCGGGGGGGATATGTACTCTTGCAATAGCACACATGCGGTGGGTAGAGGAATGTTCTTTTACAATGGTTGCTCTGAATACTGATCAGAAGACAACAGCATATCACTGTGGATTTGTGATTGCTCCACAGGGCCACGTCATTCTTTTGTGATAAGGAGCGAAGGAGGAGGAGAGTTGCATAAACTCCTGTGAGCCACACAAGCCACAGCCAGACTATGGGGTAGGGTGAGACTACGGTTTACCGACAGTCCCACAGAAACCCGATTCACCGAACGACAATTCACAGAATGACTCTTCACTAAATGCCTTACAGTCAACTTTGCGAGTAATGACATCAGGCCGAGCACCAGAATTAGGTCGTTATTTGCGAAGTGTCCTTACTCGCGAAGTCCCATTCAAATGTATATGAACCCATATTTTGTATAGCATGACATGTACATCAAAATGAAGCCCTTTTCATGCTCTACGTCAATTTGTACTTTATTTTCATATCGCAATTGAAAGGAACAGTAAATCAATATGTGAGGGAAAGACAAATAAGCCTTTTGGAGCCATCTACAGTGCTAACCAAAGAAGAAACCCAACCTCATGAATGTAATAGCATTGCCGGGCGCTACGCAGCCCTAGCACTTTACACACTGGTCTGTGCACTCTCAACGTGGCGCTACTTTATTCATGAGGATGAATTTCTTTGGCCAGCACTGCACATAGACTTGAACAATGTAAACGTATGTATTATGATGATTACTTGGTGTACAATCATGTACAACTACATGTCACTATACTGATCACTCCAACTATTTTGAAGCAACAAAAACAAGGTCGGTTATCTTTTTGATCTCTTCTGGGTGCATGCATGTGTTCTGTGTGGTGCTGTGTCGGCGCAGGCGGTGCGGCTGTCAAGAGCCCAGAAAGTCGTTACTCAAGCAGTGATTGTGATGGCTCGGAGCACTAAAATCATGTCACTACTGTTTCTCAACACAATTGTATAGCCGGCTATAACGCGAATGTACGGACTTTTATGTTTTTACTCGCCAATCGTCGTTACTCAGACATTCGTTATATCCGAAGTTAAATGTATACAATTAGATGAGACTTTGCTCTGGGCATGGAAATTCTGTCGTTACTCGCGAATTGTCGTTATATCAGTATCCGCAGTCGTGACTAGCGAAGTTGACTGTATTACCGAATGGCCATTCCACCGAAAGCCCACTTAACCGGACGACATTACACCAAACGGCTATATCAGCGATAGATCACCGACAGGACCGTTCTGCTATCTGAGTACAACACTACTGCACCAATTCTGTGGCCTAGTTGAAGAAATCTGTCGTTAAACTAGAAATCGTTATACAGAAATCGATACATTTACTGTTCTATTGAGCGTTGAGAATGCGTGAGAATCGTTACCTTTGGTACACGTAAACCACTCAATTTTAGGAAATCGTTATAATTATATGCGCTTCGTTAGAATAATGGCTTTTACAGTACTTAACAAGATACACAAACACGTCTGCCTTCTCGGTGGGGACATGACCTTACCGGGTGCTACAGCCATGCATTCACCCACCTGTGTACCGGTTAGCAACCACTTGGGATGTAGACTCACCCGGTGGCGAAATTCTTCCTAAGCTGCATATGGAAGATCTTCTCCTGGTTCATCATCAAGGATCTCAGACAAGTGAATACTTTGTGCATGGCGAGCTCCTTCACCAAGTAGTCATTCTTCATGTCAATTCGAGCTTGGTTTACGAATATACCCTGCATGAAAACGCCAGGAGCATACCACAAAACTCATAACACAAAAGCGACCCAGAGTCCACGAGCTGCTACGCAGGGAGCAGCACACACATCCACATACGCACCTACACACATCTGTACTTGTACTTGCTCAATGCCATGACTGGTCATGCCAGTATACCCCGAAGAGGGGAGAGATATTCGAAAGGAATCTTGGAAAAATGACTCAGTTAGCTATTGAACCGCCCAACGACCGACACCCCCTGAAATCCCAAACTATGGGTGGACTTGGAAATGAGTCCACGTATGGGCTCGCCACACCTCAGTAAGTGGGCGAGGACAAGGTTCATAAAATGATTGACGACATCAGGGTATCTGTCCCGAGGTCCAACTGCAGTTACCCCTGTCCCCCAGTGAAGGTAATGCTTGCTACAAGTGTGGGTGGCTAAATCAGAGTGGATCTGATTTAAGCTTCACTAGCACCATTGATTACACAAGAGATAATCTAGCCAGAAGTAATCCAAGGTTAACGTAAACCCGGAATCGCTTCCACCAGTTTTAGTTCACGAATTGCGATGACAGACCATTTCGCGCCTGCACCGTTTGCAACTGGGAGTCAATTTGATGATTGAATCGAGTCTACAGTTTCACGTTTCGCGCCCCAGTTACTTTCGCGATTTCACACTCACCGCGAAAATCACTAACATTTCAGGATGGCAAAGGTCACGGTCTGGGTTTACAATCACAGGTATTTGCATCTCGAAGTTGAGCACTCTCATGTGGGGTAGTGCCTTTGCTGTTTGCATTACGCAAAGCTCACTGACTTGTCCGTTTCAGCACTCTGGCAAGGTACGTTCGGGCCTGGTTTAAAAAAATCTGGCTTTGGAAATTTTACTTTTCATTGCTATCAGGTTCGGCCTTATTTTCTCTGTGCTGCGCTGATGAGCTCACAAAGAACGAGACAGCATGCTGTCCGCAGTTTATGCATCTCAAAGATAAAGTACAGTCAGACCTCGCATAACCGCACACATCCGTTTTCCACAAAAATATCCGGAAAGGCGAGGGAACCGGATAATCGAACACACATACTGTATGTATGCATGGCATATGCCGTAAATCGGTAACCAACGATTTTCTTCCAGACGGCGAGGTGTCCGGATAACAGAGGACCGGATAAGCGAGGTCTGACTGTAGATGAATCATGAAACCAACATAGGTAGCAGGTACAACATTACACCTTCAAGCAGCAGAGCCCGTAGGCAACAGACCCAACACTGTCTGGCATAAGTGTACCCGCCACCGAACTTGTTGGCACACACACACACACACACACACACACACACACACACACACACACACACACACACACACACACACACACACACGCATGCACACACACACACGCACACACAAACACGCAGAGTTCCTTTACTATAGGTGACAGGCATATTACCGCTACCACTATATGGCCCAATATCAGAGAGAGTCGACCTTCGGGTGAAAAAGTCATTTTCTGCAACGGCAAAAAAACACTCTTGCTTCGCCGTGCACATCCAAACAAAATCTAGTTCATCGCGACAATGAAAGCTTTTGATCGTCCTACAAGTGTGGTAGGAGCGTTCGCTCACGATGGCCAACTGCCGTCCATCTCTGCCAGACGTTATTGGACTTCCTAGGCAGGAATCGTTGCGTCTGGGAGAGAACGACGACAGTTTTCATGAGATGCTTTTGTCGACGCCAAATTCCTATTTAGTGACGAGAATTTCAACTTGGTTGAGGCGCTCCACAGAAGGAGTACTTCTGACATCTGGAAATTCTCGTAGGGCCCTTCTGATTTTAGTACACCTCCACCAGGCGCGTAACACAGCTGTTGGAGGTGCCGGTCTGGCTGGAGGGTGGGGAGGGGGGGGGGGGGGAGGGTATCCCTCGGGAGAAATGTTTTGAAATTAGGGTGCAAAATCCTGCATTCTGAATACTTTGGGCATTGTGTTAAAAAAAGTGGTCCGGCTTTGGCCGGACCGGGCAGACCGGCTGCTACGCCCCTGTCCACTCAGGGAAAATACTCAACGAGCTGCTCACTGATGCGCATGCTGCCAGTTTTCCACAGCGCTCATATTTCACAGAGGTGCAGCAGAACAATGATGGGCTACCACTGAATCGTGTACAAGATGAAGTGCGTGGTGTTAGAATGTTGTGTCTGTGTCATATTCCCTTTGGACTGATGCAAAGATTGGGACTCTGCGTGTAGTTGTAGCCAAACTCCTTCCTGTGCTTCACTTCTGTGCATTTTCAAGACTTGGGATGGCGTTCAAGCAGTTTCCATTGGTCTGCAGTAATGAGGATGAAGACCATCCATGCTTTATGCCATAGGTTTCCTGAGAGTTGTTTCACGACGAAAAATGATTGGCTGATTGGCATGACACTGCCCTTTGTAACAGGCATAGTAATCCGATGTGGAAAAGGCTGTGATAAATTGTTGTATTTCCTGATATGTACTTATGCTTGTTTGAGAAGCTTCTGGGTCATGAATATTGATTTGTTCGGTCTAATACTTTACCACGTGATCACTAGATACCTTTAGGTGACAGAATCAGAAAAATTCATTTTGTGAAAAATCACCCAAGGCCGCACCAAAGAAGTTTTTTTGCTTCGGGTGACATGGCCAGAAATATACCGGTTGGTCGATCGGCTTTCGGATCAAGACTAGTGCAACACATGCATACACACACGCGCGCACACACAAACACATATACACATATACATACACAATTCACATACTTGTGAACCATTCGCCTCGCTCTGCTTAGACCTCTTTTCTATCAACTGTTGTTTTAGGTCATTGACAGAAGAGCAAAATGTATCCGTTGCTCTCTGAACCGTTGAGATCTAGTAGGCCAAAAGAACATCCACATATCCGCAAGTGTACCACACACTCACACACACACAAACACACACACAAACACACACACACACACACACACACACACACATGCATGCCCACACAGACGTGCCCACACACCCACACACCCACACACAGACATGCACCCACCCACCCCAGACACCACGCACATACGCCCACACACAGATACAGAAAGACTTAGACACAGACACAGATACCACACACACACACACACACACACACACACACACACACACACACACACGCACGCACCCCCCCCCCCCCCCCCCCTGTACCACACCACACACATACACACAAACACACCATGTATATACACACACTCACCCACAGCTAATTGAACAACCCAACCTGAATCGCCCACACACCCACATCAACACCTGCTAATAGTAATACCTCACTCCCAGACACCCTCCACCCTGGGATTCCCTAGGCTAGAGTATGAACATGATACAGTGGTGGTGTACTACAGTCCATTCGCCTATTGCCCGCACTTGTTACTAGTGATAGCCTGAACAAGCTCCCAAGAGTGTGCCACTATGCATATGGGGTCTTTGATGGGGAACCTCACGTATGTTCAGTACAATCATTCACAGTTCTAATATCCGTCATGATCAGGGAGTGCTATTTTTATCACTTCCTACCATGTGCACACTACACTACCCCACAGAATAGGTATCACCATGTGCACACTACACTACCCCACAGAAAGGGTATCAGGAGTTGCACACTCTTGCAAACTTATGTACTCTTTGCACAAAGTACATGTACGCAGCCGAGTCGGTGTGTATTTCCGCGTGGGACCTAGGTACGTATACAGCTTGGGTCCTCAGTGTTATTTGAGCTGATGTACTTCAAAAGTAATTACAGCACAACTTCTGTATCAATGATGGAGGAAAGCTGAAATAAAGCTGGAAATTGTGACAGCACCCACCCAATTGACGAGCAATGGACGTTATCCTCTAAGTCTAAACCTCAGCCGCCCTTCTAATTCTATGCATTTTGCAGAGTTGGTACCAAAGATAAAAAGGCTGGTTGTTGTTGTTTGGTGTTGATACTGTATTTAACTAATGGGAACCAACCTACAACAGTCATGACTCATGGTCAGTTAGTTGCTGAAGACCACAAGCACAAGCACAGGCAGTGGTACTGCTAGAGCAAAAGTCACCTGGCTGTAGTCACCTGTACTGGCTGTAGTCACCTGTACTGGTTGTACAAGCTATCTTTGCTGCACACTAATTCCTACTACACTGTAGTACTAGTACTAGTAGTAGTTTAGAATGCTGCACACTTGCACTCAGTGCAGTGAGCGAGGTCTTACCAAACACCAGACAGTGAACGTATCCCCAGCGGTATAGCATATCATACAATCATGTACAAGGGCAAGCAGCCATCGTGCACACCACCACTGCATTGCTATCATTCTGCAAAATATCACTTCATCGTCACGGCTAATGCCCAGCGGGTGGAGTGCCTCACCATCAAAATAATTGACAACATACACTATAGTCAGTATAGATATTTAAAAAGACTCATTCAAACTACCAATGGTAAAATTTTTATAATGTACATGTACCTGGATTCTGAGGCAATTGGTACATGTTGTTGGTTGCTTTCCTCCACATAGCTCGCACGAAGCTGTGGCAGACGGAGTCGTCGGTACCGTTTCGCCGTCATTTGAATCTTCCATTCCCTCGTTACTGGCCAGTACTGGCAGTAGGGACGTTCGGAAAACTTCCTTCAAATTGCACTGCTCGATGCTCGCCTTATACAGCCAGGCCACCAACTCACCTGGCGACGCAGACTAGATAGAACGGGTGCGCTAACTATGTTCGCTAGAAAATGTTCATAAACAGCTACAGCGACGTCTACCGTCCAAGTAGGAGATAGGCAATGAGTGCACTGGTATTATGAACAGATTTTTTGAAACAGATTTTGAAATACAGCAGTCAGTATATGCAGCGCGCTAGCTACAAAAGCTAGCGTGGAGAACAGCACAGAACTGTGTGTGTGTGTGTGTGTGTGGTGTGGTGTGACCGTGACACTCATCACCTGCACTGACTGGTATCAGTGTATGTACCGGTGACTCCTACACTAGTACACTGCAGGCTACATCATACAGTCATGGACATGGTGATTGGTGTGTTACATGTAGCATTGTAGGAGTATGGGGTCCTTCACAGTTTCCAGTGGCAGTGGTTTCAGTACAATAGAATCTACTATTAGTATTACTAATGCCGTAAAAATGGCGTAATGCCAATGGTTGTCGTTACTGCTGAACTACCGAAACTGATGCTGCGAGGCACACGCCGGCGCCACAGCACAGTGTCCGTGGCACTAGGCGCTGCACAGGTGACCGGTGCACGCATTGGATCGCCATGGCGTGGTCTAGTGTGGGCTGGAAGTACATAATCATTACTAGTACCGCCAGAGCGCCCCACCATCTCGTCTTTTCGTGGTCGTATTGTGGAGGCGGTCTCCTGTCTGTGGGTCGATAGGTCATGCGACAACGACCTTTGTATACATATTGCACTTTCTGCAGACAATCCGTACCTTGGTCAGGCTTGGAGCGGACACGAGCTCCACACAAAGCGTCACGTCGGGACATCACCAACCTCGTCCACAGAGAGCACCTTCTCACGACAGTGTCATGGTGGTGACAGTGAGTGTTGACAGCTGCAGCTGACGAGCTGAGAGCATGCCGTGGGCAAAAGTTGGAAGAAAAAAAGATGAAAGAAAAACAATTCCGGTTAAAGTAGCTACATGACTATCAGGACGATATCCAGGAGCGATCAAAGAATACACGACTGACCTTAGGAGAAGTCTAAAACTCCCCAAGCATAATGAGGGTCAGAACCGGGTTCAACACCCATTATGGTTCAGATGGTCCCAACGGACCGGGGCTCTACCAACCGTGGATGGTTGTAGTAAGGTCACTGTTTCCGAACACAGTGTCCTCCACATTGCTATTTCATGCTGTCAAACTAACAACATCTGTGAACTATAACTAGTATAACAAGGTTTATCTAATACTAGTAATGAAACTGTATTGGGTTATGTACATGTACATGACTGTAGTGCTGTACTGACTGTAGACTGACTGTAGACTGACTGTAGTGGAGTAGAGTACCGTAGTCCTGGGGCTGGGGCTCTAGTCTAGCCAGCACACATGCAGTCGATGCTCAGCTCTGCGACTAGACTACGCCATACTGGCCAGGTCATGTACATGTACATGTACAATACACAGACTTGAGTACAATGTAAGATTGTAGCGTGCCATGCGGTTATGTTCGCACACTAACTTTGCATGCACAGCTTTCTCAACAAGTTCTTAACTCATTCTCACACAAACCACAAAGCCAGTGGCAATGGCAAGTAGGAGTATCGCCCATGCACACAATCATTATTGGCTGCATCAGGCACGACTTGGATTACTTGTGCTAACATCTTGCTAGGCTGAAGAATTGACCGCCATGCACCATTCACCCCGCTCTACACCACACCGCTACATGTGTTTGAAGTGGCTTTTTCTGGCCAGCGAATCCCTACTTTTTTTCTTTTTTCCGCATACCCATCACACCACATACTCCGGCATGCACCGGCTGGTGGTAACCACCCAGGAGAATGAAAGAAAAATCAGGAGTCTAAGAAAGAGAAGAAAGACGTGTGTGACAATCGTCGGGAATCGAACCTGCAACCTCTTGATTGGAAATCGACGGCGCATACCACTGCCCAACATGGGACACCCACCCATACACATACACATCACCCCCCCCCCCGGTACACACACACACACACACACACACACACACACACACACACACACACCTTCTTTGAGCGCTCTACCATTACAGTCATGTACATGTGTACAGAACACACTATACTCAATCTGCGCACACTATAATAATACTACTAGTCAGAACAACAGATGGCCTGATCAGTCACAATTCCTTAAAGTTTCATGCCATCTCAGGCACTCATCAGGTATTATTATGGAGGGAAATGTGCCAAACTCCCATAGTCAGTGAGTGAGAAAAGAGAATATGATATGACGGGCGGAAGGCATGCAAGGCTGTGTGACAGAATGATAATGTGACTTGCCTGCAATCACAATCATGCAGGTGCAAGATGCCGCACACTTTGGTAAGCGCTTCAAATAAAAAAAAAGGAGGTGGGGAGATACTTGCCCTTCAATGTACCAACAAACAGGTGCAAGGTGTAAAATTAATGTCCACGCGCTGCGATGCCTATAGCCTCAGTATACTTACTATAGTATAGGTGCTTAGAATAGGTGAGGGAAATGAAATAAATGACCATGATGACGCGACGGCAAGCGAGGCTTCTGTATGTGCAAGATACTACACGCATAATTAGAAGGGCTGCACACGGATACAATTGGCTGTCGCGCGCCATGTGGTTGCAAATCACGTGATTCCGTACTTGCCAAGCAGGAACTTGGCAGCGTGCCTTACACGAGCTCTGTTCGCTTGCTGAGGGAGGTGATGCGATCGGATATGCTGATGTGGTATTTCTCCGTGATACATCGGTTGCAACGTTTGGTGACATTGGCGTAGGCTTGGGCACGTTCCTTGATGGACCAGCCATATCTCCTAGGTCTTGTTCTGGCATTTTAGGCTCCATACATACTTCACCAGCTCGGTATTTGTTTCACACCGCTCGTGGGCCGTGGCGCAGCGACGTCATATGATTGCCATACCTACCTGGCCTTGAAATCCTGTGCCGACATTCCGGTGTATGTCTTCAGGGCACTGCCCGACGCTATTTCGGCCTCATACACCACATAGTCATTGGTCGACTTGCATTCACCTTTCAATGGACAATACTGCAGGCAGGGGACTCTCTTGTGCTTCGGTTTATTTTCTTGTTGCGTTTCCATATTAGGCATGCAGCTATAGCCGACTTTCAAGGTGTTTCTGCTGAAGAGCTTTCGCAGTTTGGCGTTCTTCAATCGAATCTTGGGGAAATGGTTGCTTACTAGTGCGAGAAACTGGCCCCCGATGTGTGTCCTCACATTGGGGCTATACGGAGGATTAAGGTGGCTGGGGCGGTACAACTTTTTAGGGGTCATTTTGATCACATTTTGACAGCATTTTTGAGTTTATCGGCAAGGTGGAGATGAAATTTGGAAATGTTTTCTGGTGAATCTCTGGAGAAGAGCCTTCTCTAGCCTCCTATAGGTTTATTTTTACTTTTGGACAAAATTTGAAAAAGTTTTATGAAAGGTCCGTGAAAAAATAACACGAACCTTTCATAAGGCAGGACTTGGATCAGGTACCTCTCGTATCTCAATCATGGTCCTTTGCCAACCCACTGTGCATGCCTATAATTATGGTGTGGTAGTTCATGAACAGTTTGTATGGTTCTGTCAATTTCACTGCTTTTCAAACAGAATCTGTCACATTTTGAACATTATCCGCCAAGGTACGTCTAGTTGCAGCAAGTAAGTTACTTGCGAGAAATGTTATAATTATAGTGATGTAGTCAGACACAACGGAGTCTTGCTGTCACGTGTTGCGTGGTGGTTCGTTGTGGTACATGGAGGTGGTGAAGATGGTGGATGCGACGTTATAGGAATGAATAATTGTATTACTTTCCTCTGGCGCCTAGAACTTTAGAAGGTCAACTCGACGTTGTGTAAAGCTGACAAGACAGACCATGCAAATAGCACGTACATGCTATGTCACGCGATAACGGATAAGTCGCTACTCGTACCAACCCACAGGCAACAACTCAAGCCTGTTACTGAGTATAACATTGCGTGACTTTTCGTGATGGTTGACGTTGCCGGTTGGGGATCTGAACCCACCCTCATTTTTAACGTACGAGTGGGCATGGCATCAACCCTTGCACCCACTGATGCTAGTCGTTGCTGCTTGCACTTTCTATCAACACAATCATCTACACAATGCTCATGCACATACTGTAGCACGTGTGTTTACTGGTAGTGCACTGACTGTGGTAGACATCTAAAAATGGCGTATGTCCAAGTACATGTAGGCCGCCGCCTGAGGCCCACGACCATGACACGTCTGCTTCAGTCAGTGAGTCGTGCGTGGCCAACGACTGGCGTCAACTGGGTTCACCACGCACAGCTAGCTGCAGCGCAGCAGACACGTGACAACAAGCGTCGGCGCTGATCATGTCTCCGCTATCACTACGACACAAGTGCACTAGTGACTAGGCAGATGGGAAATAATTGGCCGATGGTCTGCTGCAAGAAACTTCTTTCACTCAAGATCGGCAGGAAATCCCAATGATCATACTCCTCTTCAATGGTCCATCCACGTGGCCACGTAGTACCAGACATGCCGGCAGGACTCTACTTGACAACGACGTATCGAACTAGTTCTGTTGGTTTTCGTCATGTACTGTGCAGGTGTTGGTGGTGCTGGCCTACGGATCCCAGCCGGCCCGTGCATACTGTGGGCTACTAGTACTGGATAGAGCTGATGCTGTGACAACTGCCAGTGCACTGTCTGTAGTGTAGCTGAATCTGGTCGTCAAGATGACAACTGAGAGACGCACTTGTCTTGCATTTTGACGACTCCCTTGTCTGGCGGATGAAACACGAATTGACCGTTCTTCGCAGAACCTCTTTATCCCGCGACTACTACGGTATTATTATTATCTAAGAGTAGAATAAACCCTTGGCCTTGTGCAAGCCCTTGGCCTTGTGTTACTCAATGCCCTTGCCCTTGTGTTGCCCTTGCCCTTGTGTTACTCAATGCTCTCTAGCGCCAGCATACATGTATGCAGTGTGATCAAGCTATGAAAGATGGCGGGCCCAGGAGTTACCAGTGTGTACCCTAACATAATCCCTGGGCCGGGTACGAGGGTACTGTTGCTGCACTTGTAATCCTTTTGCATTAGAACTTAATAGAAGCGGTTACTTACTAGACTTTTTACTACAGTCGTGTAGATCTACGCGGAAG